GGCCAACGACCCCTGCCCACATCATCTTCCTCTCCATCACCTTCCTCAGCCCTAGGGACGACCTGTCCCATTGTGTTCCAAGGGGATTTGTATCTCTCTTGCAGAGTGGAGCCAAGCCAAGGAGGAACTCAGCTCTGATAATGGGGGACATCCAGTTGACTTTGCTAAAGGCACAATGGGCCTTACAGTAAACTTGTGCAATAAAGTTACATTGTACAACACTCTGGTTGGTTTCACATCCCAATATAATCATTTTTTCATCCCTCTGTGCTCCATTGATCATCTAAACCAAAAGTACCCCCCTTAAATCATGGCAACCATTATGTACTCTCATTGTTACATCAGTTACCATGGCAGCCACTACGCATTCTCATTGTGACTTGGTTGCCATGGCAACCATTGTGCATAATCATTGTGACATCGGTTACCATGGTAACCATTATGCATTCTCATTGTTATGTTGCTTACCTTCACAACCATTATGTATTCTCAATGCTAGTTGGTTACCATGGCAACCATTATGCAGTCCCATGGATACCTCAGATACCATGGCAACCATTATACATTCTTATTGATACTCTGGTTACCATGGCAACGATAGCATTTACATTGCTAGGGTCAGTTAATACAGCAACCATTATCCATTCTGATTGTGAAGTCAGTTACCATGGCAACTGTCTCATTATCCCATTGCTACAGTCAGTTACCATGGCAACCATTATGCATTCCATTTGTTATGGACGGTTATCACAGCAACCATCATACATTCCCATCACTAGGGTCGGTTACCATGGTAACCATTATGCATTCCCTGTTACGTCGCTTACCATGGCAACCATCTGTAACACACAGATAATACAGAACTGCCAAAAATTGTTTCTGCCTGGCAAAACCTTCCTATCAAACATTCTCTGTCAGCTCTCTGACAGAAGTTCTCACCAGCACTTCCCACGGCACTTTTCCTGCCAAAAGATCCTGCCATTGCTTTTGGTCATCATATCTCCTCCAACATCTGAACTGGCTACGTGCCAAGAAACCACGTTCAACCTCCTTTGAACACTATAAAAGCTGAGGACAAATTTGGGAAAATCAGGGAGAGGAAAGGGAGAAGAACTGGTGACTGTAGCCGAGAATCTCTGCCCACCTCCCCTCACCTTTTCTCCGCCACCACGTGCTGCTTGCCTGCCACCGGAGACTGGAACTGTGCTGGCCTGGAGAGAGCTGAGACCACCGTGCCACATGTGGGAGTTCCACCTTATCCTTCTACCCTGACCATATTTCTGAGGGCCCAAAGCTTGGGCTGAGCTGAGACCCTGCAGGGCCTGGGACAGGGGCGTGAGCGGTGAAACCACACCTGGTGCATTGCAGAGAACTAAAGCTGTCAGACCCCCTGCAGCTACAGAGACAACATCCAAAAGCTGCAGGGACAGAGAAAAAAAGGGAGAAACTGCTTCTCCCCCCCCCCCCCCCACACACCAGCTCAGTGTTAAAAGGTAGTTTTCAGTGGTATCTTTTCTCTGCATCTAGAAATAATCTTAGCAGTTTCCAACCTTTTCTTATTTTTTCCTTTCCCTTTGCACCTCTTAGCAATTAATAAAAATCAGTTTTTGGTATCCACAGATAACTTGTGTGAGTTTTAGCTTTGCTTAAGGCAATATTCAAATTTGAAGTTCTTTCTGCAATATTTAACCAGATTGTAACAGGAGATCATGGAAAAGTGGGAGGAACAGGGAGAAGGGTGGAAAGGGGGGGGTGGTCTGGAGGTTCCAATAATCCCATGGGAGTCCTTGGGCACAGGGAGTTTGAAAAAGCGGGGTGACTCCCTGAGCTCCTAATTTACTGTGTGATGCTGGGGGCTGCTGGATCCAATCTCAGCCTTGGGTTATGTCAACAGGTACAGTTTAGAGGAATTACAGAGGTGGGACTGAACCACATTAGTCCCCCAGTTTTGAAAGGGTGGCTAATCACATCTATTGATAGAAATGAATTATTTAGGTTACAAATCGTCAGACAAAAGATATTCATCAGAATTATTTACTGCGCACTAGAAACACTAAAACTACCAGTAGGACAGCATAAGATATGACAGTGCTCTACACTAAACCAATTCTTGAAGCAATTCTACTCAAGCTGGCACCAAAGCAAGAATTATGAATTAGAGAGGGATGGAACTCTCCCAGATCAACGCTCGGGGGGAGATCTCTGCTCTCAACCTCCAGCACTGACTGACTTTGGGGGGTCCCAGCCAAGGCAGGAATCTCCACACACCCCCCAAGAAGGGTTCTGTTGGCACAACCTGCCCCTGGCAAAGGGGATTGGCCCTTTCTGGTAGAAAGGGATGGACTGACAGTCACTGGACTCCAGGGGTTGCCTCACCATCAGGGGGGTCATTCGGGGTGGGAGCAGTGGCCGAAGCTCTTCCTGCACTTGGGGCACTCATAGAGCCTTCCCTTAATTGTGGGTCCGTTGGTGTCTGGTCAAGTGGGAGCTGTGGCTGAAGCTCTTCCCACACTCCCCACACTTGTAGGGCCTCTCCCCGGTGTGGATGCGCCGGTGGCCAACGAGGTGGGAGCTGCGTTTGAAGTCCTTCCCGCAGTCGGTGCAGCGGAAGGGCCTCTCCCCTGTGTGTGTCGACTCATGCCTGAGGAGAGTTGAGCTGAACTGAAACCTCTTCCCACATTCCAAGCACTTGTAGGGCCGTTCCCCAGTGTGGATGAGCTGGTGGTTGCGGAGGGTGGAGCTGTCACTGAAGCTCTTCCAACACTCCCCACACTTAAAGGGTCTTTCCCCAGTGTGGATGCGCCGGTGCTTGCGGAGAGCGGAGTTGTTACTGAAGCTTTTCCCACATTCCCGACACGTGTAGGGTCGTTCTCCAGTGTGGATGCGCTGGTGGGTGTGGAGGCTGCAGCTGACAGCAAAGCTCTTCCCACATTCCCCACACGTGTAGGGTCGTTCCCCAGTGTGGATGAGCTGGTGTTGCATCAGGTTTGAGCTGAACCTGAAGCTCTTCCCACATTCCCTACA